GGGAAATAGGCACAAACTGGAATACAGCAGGTTCTTCCTGAACACCAGGAAGCACTTCACTGTGCAGGTGACCGAGCACTGGAACCTTTACCTAGAGAGGCTGTGAAGTCTCCCTCCCTGGAGATCTTCAAAAGGTGTCTGGACATAGTCCAGCGTAACCTTCTCTGGGTAGGGGGGTTGGACCTTTCCAGCCTCAAACATTGCATGATTCATTGTGACTTATTGTAAAACTGTGTTGCTTAAAAACATACATGGAGTTAGGAAAAGAGAAAGTGAGCAGTATGAAGTGAACAAGGGGCCACTCATTCCATCTGAGAGTTTAAATCACTACACATACGTGTATGCCAAAACCATGCAAGTGTACTGGTATTTGCCTAGTGCCTATGCAGTGGGGAGCTAGATCTGTGCCAGGTGGGCAGCTAACACCTGTCTGCTCTTGGTTAAGTCCTTTCTGAGTTAGGAACTCAAAAGGCCATTTGACTTGTGTGAATCACACTTGTGTCTCTAGTACACTCTTGATTCAATGTAGCTTTCCATATTTATGTATGACTGTACCAATAGGAGATTCATACTTAAACAGTAAAATAAATGTACATCTAATAGCCTTGAAATTACAGAAGGGAGAAATGTTCTTCTAATACTGAAATTTATCTTTGCAGCTTTCTAGGCATCTGTAAACTCCATTCACTCATAAAATTCAGTATTTTCTAGAGTGAGATGAACAGCTGCTCCACACATACAATCTTTTTAGAAAATTTAGGAAAAGGGTCTAAAAATAACACACTCATGGCTACTGGGATAAGTTTAAATAAAAGACTGTAAACGTAACTGAATTTGTCCAGGACACAGAGACATATACACACATGGCTTCAAACCAGCAAATCAAGACAATCAACAGTCCACTATAAACAATGGATGCTTTGTAGAAGAGATTTCAGCATCAAGCAGAAGAATGGGAACATATTATTTCCCCAAATGTTTTAACCAACTATTTCTACAGAACAAACTACTATTTAAAATTTGAACCTAGAAGTGAATTATCAAGGCTGATTTCTGCTTCTTCAAAGACAGAAGCATATGAAGACATATTTCTGCCAGCAAAGTCTTAGTAACAAATAAGAGAGATATCTCCACTGTAAGGTTCTATAGTGAGCCATGAAAATGAAAAGTTCAGTGAATTATACCCAGGTCAAGCCCATGCATTACCTTCTGAGGACAAAGCATGATGCTGAAATGTTGTGCGTCAGCTGATCATTCAGAGTAAAGAATTTAATAGATGAACTTTGATCTAGTGCTACACCTTTCAAAAGCAGACTATCAACACAGTTTCACCACAATTTCATCAGTGCTAGCCATATCATTTAGTAAGCCTAAAAATAACATAAACTTAGAATGATACCTCATTTATCTTGTCACATATTCATGCTTACTTTTATAAAATGGGGGACAAATAAACAAGAAATATTACATCATTATATGCATCATTCTCTGAGTACGTTAATACGTGCTTATTTTCATATTCCTTGTTCCTGCATAAATTAAGAGTACCAAATCTCTAAAGTGAATTTATTAACTTGAAACAAAGAATTAAAGAATGAAACAGGGTGATTTTACAGTTTTATCAGATAAAATGATAAAAAGTGGATAAGAGTAAAGTCCTGATAACTCTGTTTCACTGACTTAATGGAGAATAATTTAAATCAAGTAACAAGGTGCAGATGAAACTTCTTTACAGTTACTTAAGGCACCAAATTATAATAAAAAATAGCTTTATATATATATATGTATATATATAAAACCACTTAGATATTATAATATGAAAACAACACATCCACTTACTGAAACATACCTTTCAATTGTGATAAAGACCAGCTTACCTTTTTGAAATGAAGTAATCTCCCTCTTCTCCCAGTAAAGTCAGCAACAAGGATTACCTCTGCCTTCAATGAAAGCAAGTTTTGTGTATGTAAAGAAACCCTTGCTACACAGAGTTTTATAGTTATCAAGCTAGGGTAGGGCTCAGCAGACATTGTAGTAATATAAGATGGGGATAGTCACTGGGCTACCTACAGGGTAGTAAGTGGGTCCCTTGGACAGATGACTCCCCACTTTAGGGGTCCACACCATAAGAGCAAGAGGAACCTAACTACCAGTGAGGAGACCACAAGAGAGTGAGGACAGTTGGTGCTTATTCTTGGTAATCAGCTCCAGCAAGCTGTACTGAATCACTGCCAGCCTGGTCATGTTAAGGGGATGTTTTATAAGTCAACTGGAACGTCTGCAAGGAAACAACTTTTTAGATTTGCCCTGAAGTGTTTTTGTTTGTTTGTTTGTATTTTTTTTGTTTTCTTTTCTTTTTTGAAAAAAAAAAATATTTTAAGATGATGCAAATAAATGGAATTTAGTTTCAAAGAGCACTTAACTCCCATTGAAGTCAGTGGTAGTACACTTTATCTTGGAATTTTGTTTGAATTCCAGGTGTCAAACTGCCTTTAAAAGTCTGGCCTTAAACAACTAAGTACAATGTCATGTTGCTTAAAATAAATGTCATTCTGGTTATTTGAAAATTAGTCTTGCTAGGACTCATTGCATGGACCATACTTTATTTTCCTCGAGGAGCTCAAACCATCTGGAATGCCAACAGCCTTCTCAGCTCAGTGCACCTTAAATCCACATTAAAACTATCCATACAACCCTAGGCTGTGACTACAATAAGCAAGCTAGAGGATGTAATAATGGCTTTTCTTTTGGGGAGGAAAAACAAAAAAGAGAAACTCTCAAGGTGCGCATTTGTATCCTTATAGTGGATACATTGCCTCAGGAGAAGACTATCACTCTGGAGACAGAAACAATCAATCTTCATCTTATTTGGAGCAAGTTACTTAATGTTCTGTCAGAAGGGGCATATAGGTATCACGAAGATGGGACCAAGACAGGCCACAGAGCCATCTGCTGTCTCTCCTCCTTCATATGGCAGACTCCTGGGACCTAATTTCTCTCATCATATCTATCAGATCATTCTACATTCTTGACCTCTCCGACCTACTAATCCCTGAAGAAAAAAAAAAAAAAAAAAAAAAAAAAAAAAAAAGAGTTAAAAGTTATAGTCTTTTGTAATCAAGTATCATTGCTTTTGTAAGCTTATTATTTTTAATGAACCAGCTCTAACATTTCATAACATCTAGAAAAGCTGTTTGACTCAGACTCTCTTACCAAATCATGCTTTAGGTTATTTAGAACAAAGGTCTTGTTTCAAGGTCATTTTACTTTCAATTAAGTAAAACCATAGATAGAGAGTTAGAGGTAAGTCACAGCAAAGAATTGCAACAAATAAAAATCCCTAACCTAAACTTCTTAAGAAAACTACATAACCCCTTTACAAGGATACAGCCTGAGGTGTAAGACTATAGCTTTGGCTTTCATTTCATATACACTGAAACAGAATGTGGTTAAATACATGTTCCAGAGCCTTGGGTATTTGTTCTTAGATTACTTTGTGATAAGCTCAGTATTTCTGATGCAAATGAGTTTGCACCAACATTTACCCTTTCCAGCCTTAAACGAAACAGCAGGACTCATGAGGACAGAAACAAAAACTTTGCAAATGTTAAAGGAATAAAGCATCTGGCAGAGTCTTTTAACTGCTGGAGAAGAACATATCCCACTGGACATCACCATTTTTGTTGTTGGAAAAAAAAAATTATTATTATTATTTCTTCTAAAGCATTTCACAGACTGTAGGCACACACTGTTTTAGTAGGCAAGAACTATGTTCTATTCTAACATACAGTTAAATATCATAATTTAGAAAGACATTAAGACAAATTACATTTTCTGAATCTATTTACAGACAATTTCCTCCAAATAGAGATTTCCCCCCTTTACATGAAAGCAGAAATCAAATTCTTTTCATTTACTACTTCCTGTTGTTCTCCTCAAAACCCTTACCTGTGGTCTGTATGATCCATAATAATGTAGTATGGATGCCAGAGAATGTAGGCACACCCATTTGAGACTCCAAAGAACATTTCTTGAAAAGACAAAGTTGCAAAGGTGTACCTGTTGGCAGAACTTCATCCTCTGGACCAAATTTCTGGACAAGAGTACTTTGAGCTCAGAAAGACATTTTTGGGAATAAATAAATAAATAAACGAACTTGTTATTTAAGGGCGGTTAAAAAGTTTAAAGATGTGAAATTGCATACAAAGTGAATTTCTAACTCACACACGGAAGTGCAGATGCATAAAAGAACAATTTTAACTGCTGGGACAGAGAGGTTAAAATCCAGATACCCAGCTCCAGGGTCTTTAAGCTATTGCTCACTATGACTCCAGCCCTGACAAGCTACTGCTTAAAATGAGGAGCAATAAAGGAAAATGGGGCTGTGCATCAGTGCATAAAGAAAAAGAAAGAATAGCGAACTGTGAGGGGAGTGAAGGAGAGAATTGAGTATCTACATATGATAGAGAGCATTAACATGACAACCACAAGAGCACAGCAAACCATACAAATGAATCATGCTGACATCTGCACAAATTTTCCTATCCTTTATAGACATAAGTGGAAGTTTCCTGAAAAACTAATAGGAAAGTACAAGAAAAGAAAGAAGAGACAAGCTTGATTTTTATTTTTTTATCATTATTAATCATCTATTGATCATCTATTTTTCCATCTATTTCAAAAATATTGCGCACACCTCTGACAGAAAAAAAAAAACCACACAAAACCAGAGGAGAAAATTCTGTCTTACCTCTATCAAGGGTACATGTAGGTACCCTTTACTTCTGCCTAGGTTTTACAAGTTGCGAAGTCTGGCTGCAGGTTTCCTTTTCACTGTGATGGCCAAGGGACTTTTGAATGCATTAGCCAGAAACCAAGAGTTTCACTCTCATTTGGTATGAGTGAAATAGAAAATGAAATATAAATACCTTAGTTAAATCATCAAAAAGTGAGCCAAAATTTTCTTTTAGAAGCACTAGAAATCATATCCCATGTTCTTCTGGAGTTTGGAAAAAATAATTTATTTGTCATTTTGGGGCACAGATCTGTATCACATAAGATATGACATTTCAGGTTATTTTATAGAAGGATTCAATTCTGTGTACAAGGAATCAGCTGTAGTGGAAAGAAAATGAAGAGGACAGTTAAGGCTTTGTTTGGAGCATGTACCCAAGGTGATAGATATATGGGAGCATCCACCACCATTTATTTCAGGGGCTGTGTCAAACACTTACTATTCATTTTGTTTAGGTGATCAAATTTTATATGCTTTTGTTTGTTTGTTTGTTTGTTTGTTTTTTTGGGGGGGGGGAGAAAGGCACATTTTGTATGCATAATTCATGAATTCTTAATTCTACAAAATTGTATGCATGTAAGTCATGTACCACTGGACTAGAGCTGGCTTAAATATTTGAATGCACTTTAAATACAATTTAGGATGAAGAGAGTATTGGAAAACATAACTGTTGGACAGCTGCTATTTCAAAGAGAAAAAGTTTTTCCCATAATATCTCAACCAAACTGTTATCAAGATATTTATCAAATGTAGCTGTTTACTGTTTACCTAATAATAATATAATTGAGTGACTGATAATACTTGATAATAATTGAGTGATTAAGCATGGTGGAATTACAGTTAATTTTGGATCTCACCATGTTTCAAAAACAGAACTCTGAACTATGGCTAAGTTTTTGTGCTTTGGAATTTCTAAAACGAGTAACGTTATGTAACCTAAATGATTATCATTTACAAATTTTACAAGATGATAATAAAAAATTGAAATCAGTAGGGGAAAAAAGGCCACTGTGATAAAATAGAAATGCATCAAAATGAAATTTTGATTCTTTTTATACTTCTCATCATTACAATTTCATTCTTAATTCTGATGTGATTATCTTGCCTGTTGCAAAAACACTTGGTCAATATGATTTGAAAAGATAACTTGTGGTCATACTGAATGTGCTGCAAAATTAATATATTGAAATACTCCATACAATTGTCACCTTTTCTATTAGGACATCTGTGTAAAATATAAAAATATCAGGTAAAATTCACCCAAACCTTTTGGACAATTGTGTCAAAGAGCTCCAGTGTCTGAAGTTGCAAGAGTAAAGAGCTCAGTTTACTTTGGGAGAATGATGACATTTTACTGCTCAGATGAAACTCCCCTAATGAACAAAGGAGGAGGATGGTTTCACACCAAGTCTCTGGTGATAACTCAGCTGAAACTACTGGTGCTGACTCTTCTGACTGGAGAAAATCAGGATCATTCCCAGAGGCCAAATCTGCCTAGAACTAGCACAGAGGGTTGGCACTTGGCACCTGCACTTATTGTGAAGTGTCAGAATTATACAGCACATGCTGGTAGTGGCCATCTGTTATGTATATTGATATCCCAGTGAAGGTCGGTATGGGGAACAGCCCTGGTTTTCAGCCCTGTGATTTGAGTGACAGAACGAGACTTATCTTCCATGCCTCTCCAGATCGTGAGCAGTTTTTACTTTGTGAAATTGCACGTAACTTCTGTTCTTCTCCTGTGTATGTGGAGATGTCTTGATATGTGCTGGTCTGTCTGCATTAAACAAGAAAAACAGTATCTAAACAATGCATTGAGAATACAAACCATATATACTGTTATAATTATATTTAGTGCTTTACTTGCTATCTATCACAAGTCTGTATGGAATAAAATGTTCCTAATACACACAGCCCTTCTTTTCAATGCTTTTGTTGTTGTTTTCAATTGTGCAGGGATATTTTGAATCTTGTAATCATTAGTCTGTTTTCCCATTCAGATCTCACATATATGACCTCACATTCATGCTTAACAGCAGTGAATGCTGTGATGAAGAAGAAACATTTTAAAATTTGATTTCTGCTTCACAATTTCTGTTGTTCTACTCTCCCAGTCAAAATACTGATTGTTTTAATCTTTTGCTTAAAATAAATAAATAAATAAATGATCAAGGATAAGTTGTTTTCTTATGATTAATTTTATTATTATAAATTATAATTATACATTTAAAATTTTATTATTTATTTATTTATTATTATTTATTTATATTCTGAATTTTATGGACTATGTACTCTTTAATTTAGAAAATAAAATTGCAAAATATACTGAATGTATTCTAGAAGTGATTCTACAAAATACCATTCAACTTTTCAAAATTTTATTATTCATCAACCAGTCACTGCTTTCCCCTACCTATTACACAAATGCAACTTTTGACTTATTTATAATTTTTCCAGAACTACAGAACATTATTTTTTGTTAATTTTACCAGTAATACTATTGTTACTATTATTATTCTTAATTCTGTTATGAACTAATAATTTACTATTCCTAAAAAGTAAGAGGAAAAGCACTTGGTCTGATCAAAAGTTAATCTGGCTGGTTTCTTAGCTTTGACAGTTATTATTCATGACTACCTAGGTAAGAATATGAGGACAGAACAAGAACAATACAGCCAACAAATCTTACTCTGTCCCCTAAAATACTACAGTCCAGGGGACTTCCCTCAAACACTTAAAAGTGTTTCTCTAGTGTTTAACGACCCTCAGCTGGATTTATCCTTTCAAGAAATTGTCAGTTTGATTTCAAACTTATGTTGGCTTTTAACGCTCACAGCATTCTGCGCAAAGACTTCTACAGCTTAATTGCTCATTACATGAAGAATTAGATCCTTGTATCAAACATGTTCTCTGCTAGTTTCTTTTGATGAATTCTAGTCATATCTCCTAAAGCTATGTAAAATGTTCCCATAAATTAAGACTTAACAAACCATATTTCCTTTTAACATTTTAGTGAAGGTGGTTACTGCTGCCTTTTCAAGTAGGAAGAAATACAAAAATGTCTGCCTTACTTACCAGAAGAACAACCTGTAAATATTGAAGGAAGGAACATCTCTAGGTTTTCAAATTCTCAAACACTTCTACTAGAAATGTTAAATACTACGTGTATACATACAGAATATTAAAAAAAAAAAAAAAAAAAAAAAGTCATCACCATTAATTTATAACTATGACAGTATTTTTACACATTCCTATTTTGTAACATTACACAGGGCCCCACCAGTCTGACCTGTGTGCCTCTTAGTCCACAGGAAGATTCACAAACTTTTGGTTTCACAAAAACCATATGCTAAATCATGCCTTTAAAATAATGTAATACTTGGAAAGATGACATGTCACAAAAATTAGAAGGAAAATGGTGACAAAATCCCCACAGGAACTTGTGATGCATTTTTATTTTGCTGTAAAGAAGATAAACTCTTTTTTTAATGAAATATTGAAGATGAAATGTCAAAATAAATGTCAGTGAAAAGCAGACTACTATGGGTAGTTATGGAAAGGAACATTCAACATGTCCTAATGTTTTATTCTACAAATATGATCATGACTTTCATAGAAATCACTGGTTGAGTAGTGATTTTTATATCAATTATCTAAGCATGTGTAATTTTCACTTCATTTTGAACATATTCCTTACTGCCACATAATATAAATTTGCACAGTGCTTTCACTAGAAATCATCTTTATTTGCCACTCCATTCAGAACAATCAGACATGCTTTCCCAATTTCAAGATTTCCCTCGTACATTAGCTCTAACCACTATTTTATTATTTTTTTTTCCCCACCAGCTCTCTGGACTAAATATCAGATGTATCTGTCTAGCTCCATTCCTTCTGTAAAAGGCAGCAATCAAAATCAGACACATCTCAAAGGTTATTGCAAGAGCTTGACCACAATTTTGTCTGGTAAGACACTTTAATTTCTTCCCCCCCCCCCTCCAATTCTACTGCAACTCTTTAAAAGCAAATTCAGTGAAATTTTGACCATTTCCAATATGGTAGAAAATATCAAATTTTTTCTTCTTGATTTTATTTCTGTTTGCCAAAATAAAGTGCAGTCTAATCTACATGGTGTCCTGCTTAACACCACCTGCCTGAATTGACTTTCCTTCATTTCCTTTCCTTCCTAAGTAAAATTTTCATTTCTGATTTCTATGCAGAAAATATATTTTGCAAAAGCTTTGTAAGGATTGTAAAGGACTGTAAAGAAATGATAAGTAATGGAGCTGAAAGCACTAACCAAATCGAAAATGAGAATCTTGATGTTAGAGGGAGATGAGACCAGATAGAGAAGAGCTCAGAAAGACAGTTGTTGGCAAGACCTCCTTGTTGCACTAGAAGCTTTGCCTAAGAGAAAGCTTTGCATAAAAATGTCAGGTTTTAATAGCAAATATATCTTTGAATCACTAAGAATATTAAGAAAGGAACCTGAAATACTTTGCTTCTTCATGAAGCAAAACTAACACCCCTCCTTCACTCAAATCCTCATAGAAATTAGGAGCCTTCCCTGTCGGAAAGAGAAAGGGAAAAGGAAAGGGAAAGGGATTTACCGATGCAGTTTGGTGGATCCAGATATAGAATCTGTGCTGTATTTTACTTTTTTTTCATAACAGTTTCAAATTTTGGTGAAACAGATAACAGGCAATTGGGTTGAGAGAAACAGATGTTTAAATTGGACACATATGCCTGAAGTGTTTAAGGTATCTCTCTTTAAAGTTATACACGTCTAAGAAATTTTATGGATCATGGCTTAATGTTAGTCTTTCATTTTCAATGAAGTTAGTAAGAACATAATAATAAGATCAACAGGCACTGCTAATATTCACTGCCCCACTTCCTTTTTTTTTTTTTTTTTGAATGACATGCTGCACAACACATCCCTCCTATATTCTGTCTGAGTGCAGATATAATCATATATGCATAGAAATAATTACAAATTCATGTCTTCTGCTTAGATCGTCAGAAATCTGAAGGGGAAATGCTACCACTAATATGGTTTAAAACTCACTTGGTCTGATTTTTGTCAAGTTTTAATCCTATTACTTCAAGTGATTATTAATTACCATTGTAAGTAGCAATAATCCTTGCATAAATAAATAAAATGCAGCTGTGTGTGACCATCTGAAATACATCAACTCCCCTAAATTATATTATCTGGCATCATGTATGTTATTAACTTTGATTTTTTGTTGTTAAACCACTCATTGTAATTTATTTTACAAATTATGCTGCCAACCATCATGAAACAAGTCCTTTCCACAGACAGTAGTTGTGGTGATGTTTCCTTCAAGTATTCTTTATTATTTACATAAAATTTGTCCCTCCAGGATGTTGCTCTAATCAATATCTAAGGCTGTACATGAATATATGAAAAAAACTTTGCCCAGAGTAGCTTACATCTTGGACAGACAAATAGTTAAATGCAGGAAAAAGTTGTCATTAATAACCTTCTTTAACAGATCAGGCTGAGATGCGGCAGTGTAAACCAAATCAATGAAGGACTGAGATTTGATTCTTGTTCAAGCCTTCAGCACCATCCAAACCTTTAAACACAAAACTTTTTTTTTTTCTTTTTCCCCCTCCTGATCAGCCATTTCAGACTCATTGTCCTCTCAAGGTAGTGCTACTCTTTGGAGCCCAAGTGAAGCCACTAGCCAAAGAACACTATTTTCTTGGGAACTGGAAGGAGAGCAGTCATGGTCCTAATCACGTTTTCCTTAGTACACTGCTTTTTCCTTGTGATGGCTGTGCAAATCAACAGGTTTTTACAAAAGCCAACTTCTTAACACAACCACTCTCAACTTTGAAAGTATTGCATTCACCTTCCTTCACTCACCATTTAAGTCTCCTCTCTTCGTATTTGCACAGTCTTGTTGTTTGCAAAATAAGATGCAAATGACATCAAGTTCTTTTATGAATGCACATTGGCCTCCCTTTTAAAACTGATAATGAGGACCCATGCTTTAGGTCACCAGATTCCAGAGCAAACAATGGTAAAAATGCTGAAAAAATTATTTGGAAAAAAAAAAAAAAAAAAACAGCAACAAAAAAAAACTCTCATATGCATACACACTCACATATATATGTACATGCATACATGCTATTATATTTTATGTAATACTGATTCTGTGCTAAAACAAGGAAATGTAATTGCAAGACTGTGGTATAAAACTTCCATATTTTGATTAGTGACTGTGATTAATACATTCAAGTGTGGCTTTCCTGAGGCCTAATATGCTTTAACTATGTTTTTCCCTGCATTTTGTTGTTCTGTGACTTAAATATAGAGGGTGACTAACAAGTAGTTCTGGGTGTGCATGTGTGAATCAGAGGGAAATCCATACACTTTAGAGATCGTGACATTGTAAATGTAGTGAACATATTTATTTAAACAATTACTATATTAACCATCAACATTGAGAGTAACACATATTAGGAGCTAAACAATTAGTAGAAGAATTTTGAAAATATTACGTTAATGACTATGCAAAGTAACTGGATTTTGCCTTTATAAATCACTTGGAATTTATATTTCAGTCACCAGTTCTGCTGTATAATACCTGAAAGACCGTTCAGATTTGTAGTGTAAATGTAAAGTGCTTTTTGTTTAAATTTTAACTACATTTTTTACACTACATATCACAGACAGAAAAGACAGAATTATGAGCAGACTAAGAAAGGCAAATTTCTTACGGTATAATACAGCATGAAAATGTC